GCTTCAGCTGCATGCTGCTTTTCCTGGCCGGTGCCGACCCGGTTCTGCCCAGGCGGGTCCTGCAGCACAATGTCAACCCGGGCATGGCGCCAGCAGGCCAGGCGGGCCCCAGGTCAACCCCGGCCTGGCCCCGCAGCTTCGGCAGCACCATGTCAACCTGGTTGTAACCAAGCGGCTCCTGCAGCACCATGTCAACCTGGTCATGGCATCAGGCCGGCCGGGCACCAGGTCTGTAAAAATACTGTCCAGTGTTTGGATTGTGTTTGCTTCTGTTTCTCTTTGTGTGGGATTGGGCGTTCAACTTGTTACTGCTTGTTAAAGATGTGTTACTAACAAGTTATTCATTCAATAAAAGTAAATCTTTTTGAAGATTATTCTAAAAAATGCCCATATTTTGTTGCTTTGATTAGTTTCCACTCTGGCTGATATCTTTTCCACATTTGATCTGTCGACTTGCATTATGCTTCTTTCATTCATTGAGAAGTGAGTAGAAGCAAAAGTGTTTATTTTAGTCAAGTGTTTGGTATTATTTCATTCTTGCTTTTATATTGTTTTTATTTTGGATTTTAAACCACATTTCAATACCCATTTCATTGTCACTTCCTGCAACTTTATTGGTGTCAAAGGTCACGTGACATCACTTCCTGATGTGATACCACTTCCTGTGAGGTCTTTGAATATGGCTCCCCAGCCCACTGGGTGATAAAAAGTTTGTGATCCAGCCCCACATTCAAAAAGGTTGGACACCCCTGTTCTAAGAGAATCAAAGCTCTATAGTGGTTAACAGAAACTTTTAAAGATGCATTCAGTGTATCCTAAACTGATACACTGCCAGCCACCTCAGTGGTATCACAATGTAGCACAGAAGAGGAGTTTGACTACACAGTAAGATAAAATGGGAGAAAGTAATTAAAATAATTTTAAAAAGCTATTGGTAGCATGGAAGTTCAGAGGATGAGAGAATGCAAGAAAATATAGGAGAGAAGAACAGAAGGAAAGAGAAAACTAGGAGATAAAATTAAGAGAAGGTTAAAAGATAAAAACAGACTGGATTAAGGAGACAGAAAAAATAAAAAGTAAAATTGCCAGGGAATGGGTAGGTGAAGATCTTTGCACAAAAGCAGAATCTACTTTGGAAAAGGGGATGCGAGAACAATTCTTCATTCTGAAGGCATTCATCCTGGGACCTAACTCCCACTGCTGTTCTCATAGCGATCTATAATTCATACTATTCACAGTAGTATGCCTGTAATAGATCAATCATTTATTAATCCTCCACATGCTATAAATGATCCTTCATAAAAACCAGTGCTAGGATCATTTAAAAAGGTTTTCTTAAAATAAAACTCAGCTAGACAACAACTGATTTTGACAACAAAATCCTTAAATTTGACAGTTTGTTCAGAGCTCTTACACGTTTATGAATTCATATTTTTGGTTGATTTTTTCATGTTCAGCTTATTTTGTTCTTAATTTCTATCCTTTGCTATACAATATATTTTGGGTTGTAGTGCATGTATTACTTACCGAAGATGAACTAATTATTCTTATTTGTTCAAGAGCTTCTGATAGACTTCCTTCTATCTCAGCATCATCCAAGGAAAACAGGTCCCCTGCACGCGAAAGATCCTTTTGTCCCAAAACCAGCCCAAAAAGATGATGCATGGCTGCCAATCAGCCAAAACTCTGACTGTACCATGTGGGCCAGTCAAACAGGCAAGAGAAGCAGCAATCCATAAACTAGTCAGCCATCAGTTTTATAAGTACAGAAAATCCTTTCCATATTTTGAGCCCTCTTCTGCCATGATCTAGAAAGAAATATGCAAATATTAGCAATAACATGCAAGTGTCACCCTGTGATTCAGGAAATATATTTAAATGTGCCTGCAAAAAGTACATAGGTAAAAGCGCTGTGCGAAACAGTAGCGTTCCACTTCAACATTTTGATGGAACAGTGTTTCATTTCGAGTTTTGTTTCATTTCAAAAGCACTGTTCCGTTTCATTCAGTCAAAATGGTTTCACTGTTTCGACACTGTTTCAACGTTTTGTCCATAGACTACTCTGCACCCAGTGCCGTGAAGATTGGTGCTGCCGCTGGCCCCAGCCAGCAGCACCAGCCTATTGTCATCCAGTAGGCAGATCATGGGTTTGTCCAAACCCCTGGGAGGAGTCCAGCACAGCTCCGCAGGCCTCCCGGGGGTGCAGGCAAGCCCCAAATCTGCCTGCCGGATGACAGGAGGCTGGTGCTGCCAGCTGGGGCCAGCAGCGGCACTGATCTTTCCAGCACAGGCTGCACCCAATGCCGGTCCCAGCCAGCAGCACCAGCCTCTTGTGATCTGGCAGGCAGATCAGGGGCCCGCATCCCTGGGAGGAGTCCAGTACAGCCCCACAGCACTCCCGGGGGTGAAAGCCCCCGATCTGCCTGCCAGATGAAAGGAGGCTGGAGCTGCCGGCTGGGACCAGCAGCAGCACCAATCTTCCTGGCATGGGCTGCTCCCAGAACCAGTCCCAGGCGGCAGCACCAGCCTCCTGTGATCTGGCAGGCAGATCAGGGGCCCGCATCCCTGGGAGGAGTCCAGTACAGCCCCACAGCACTCCCGGGGGTGAAAGCCCCCGATCTGCCTGCCAGATGACAGGAGGCTGGTGCTGCTGGCTGGGACCAGTGCTGAAGCCAAGCTTACTTGGCTTCAAAACTCGAAACTTTTTGAAACTTTCAAAATGTTTCGAGTACCCTTGTTTTGTTTCAAAGCTGTTTCGAAGGCTTTTGTTTCATTTTGATTCCACTGTTTCGAGCTTGAAACAGAGCGAAACAGCTTCAAAACGAAACACCGGGCAAAATTTCGCATAGCCTTATAGGTAATATATCCTAATATTAACCAGGTATATAAACAAGAAAATGAAACAGCCACTAAATTATTTTACATTACTGAATTAGAGCCTTCACAGATAATTATAATGATAGAGCATTTTTCCATTCCATAGATTCATAGATGTAGGGTCAGAAGGGACCTTGCAGATCTTCTAGCCTGACCTCCTGCCCTGGGCAGGAGAGAAAATTGAGCTCAAAATGACCCCAGCTAGGTAATCATCAAGCCTCCTCTTAAAGACTCCCAAGGTAGGAGCCAGCACTACTTCCCTTGGAAGTTGGTTCCAGATCCTAACTGCCCTGACCGTGAAGTAGTGCCTTCTAATGTCTAGTCTGAACCTACTCTCTAACAGCTTATGGCCGTTATTCCTTGTGAAGGCTTAACAGGTTAAGGTCTCATAGCCTTTCCTTGTAGGATCTGCCCATGCGGGTGGCCCTCCTTTGGACCCTCTCAATTCTGTCCACATCCCTCCTGAAGTGCGGCACCCAGAACTGGATGCAGTACTCCAACTGCGGCCTGACCAGTGTCGCATAGAGGGGGAGGATCACCTCCTTGGCCCTGCTTGTGATGTATCTGTGGATGCATGACAAGGTGTGGTTAGCCTTACTGACCGTGTCCTCGCATTGGCGGCCCATGTTCATCTTGGAATCCATAATGACTCCAAGATCTTTTTCTGCCACTGTGCTTTTGAGAAGAGAGCTCCCCAGCCTATACGTATGCTGCTGGTTCTTACTGCCCAAGTGCAGCACCCTCCACTTGTCAGTATTGAATCCCATCCTATTCTCATTTGCCCACCCTGTAACCTGTCCAGGTCCAGCTGTATCCTGTCCCTCCCTTCTAGCATTCCCACCTCACTCCAAACCTTGGTGTCATCTGAGAATTTAAACAGGGTGCTTTCCACCCCCTCGTCCAAGTCACTAATAAAGAAATTGAACTGTGCTGGCCCAAGGACTGAGTCCTGGGGGACTCCACTGCTCACATCCCTCCAGGTTGAATATGACCCGTCCACCACCACTCTCTGAGCACGGCCCCTCAGCCAATTTGCTATCCATCTGACTGTGTAGGCGTCAATGCCACAGTCGCCTAGCTTTTTAATGAGAATGGGGTGGGAGACAGTGTCAAAGGCCTTCCTGAAATCCAGAAAGATTACAACCACCGTGACACCTGCATCCAATGATTTTGTGACCTGATCGTAGAAGGCAATTAGGTTGGTCTGACAGGACCTGCCCCTAATGAAATCATGCTGGTTGCCCCTGAGCATCATCCCCACTGCTGGCCCTTCACAGATGTGCTCCTTGATAATCTTCTCAAAGAGCTTCCCCCGGATTGAAGTAAAACTAACAGGCCTATAGTTGCCCAGGTCCTCCCTCCTCCCTTTTTTGATGATGGGGACCACATTGGCCCTCTTCCAGTCGTCTAGCACCTGGCCAGAGCACCACAAATGCTCGTAACCCACCACGAATGCTCATAACCCACCACAAATGCCCCACGATAACCCCTGCCAATTCCCTCAACACCCTGGGGTGGAGAGCATCTGGACCTGCTGATTTGAACATGCCCAGCCCCTCCAGAAGTTCTCTAACTCGGTCCTCCCTGACTCTAGGTCTGGTGGAGTCTCTCCTGGGTCTGTCCCGAATCTCAGTGGGGGAGTCCTGGTCCCTGCACAAAAAAATGGAGGCAAAGAAATTGTTAAAAAGGTCTGCTTTTTCCTCTGGTTCCTTTTTCCTCTCCATCATACTGAGGTTTTCATACCATCCTTAACACCATGGTGTCTGAATGCCCAGTAGCATACGTAGGGGTGGGTAAGAGGGGAAGCCACTCTGGATGCCAAGTTAGGAGAGGTGTCAGAATCACCCCCTGCCTGTGTGGAATCCATAAGCCAGCAACATAGTCATGGTGGGAAATCCCCAACAGCCCCTGTCTGCTGTCTGCTGCTGGTGCTACTTTAAGATGGGGCCTAGTTGGGGACTGTTTAGGAATTCCTGGCATGGGTAAGACTGCTGCCACCCAGCTCTGCTCTTGGAGCTGTTGCCCCCTGGCCCTGCTCTCAGAACCCCCATGCCCTCCACTCCCACTCTCAGAACCCATATTTCCCCAGCCCGATTCTCAGAGCCACACGCCTCCCACCCCACTCTCAGAATTGCACGCACACCCCTAACCCTCTCTCAGAACACACATTTTCTCTGCTTTTGGAGCACTGCGCCTCACTCTCTGTCAGGGTTTGTCCGAGGTGTCAATCTGCATGTTACACTACTGCAAATGCTTTCCAGAAGTGTCTCCTGTAATCTGTTTTATATCTCTCACATCTGGGTCTTTCTTTTTCCCTATCCATAGATGGCAACTGGCTGTAAAGTTTTGGTTTTTTGCATTATGCATGTGTTTTTTTAGACACAGAATGGCATAGCAAGCCAAAATACTGCTCCACATCTGAAATGGAGGAGAGAATGGACTCTGAGAACTGAATTGCACGATTCTGACTCACTGTAAAGTATGACTTACAACATGAATAAAAACTGTGCAGTTGAAGTATACAAAAACAAAACAAAACAAAAAACCACCATGCAACTAGGCATGAGCTAAGAACCTTTTTGCCTCTTACATAAACTAAAAACAAGCCCCTAGCGACACCAATTTTCCAAAACTCCCCAAGAAACACTTTAAATTCTGAGTGGCCTTATTGCATCTCACCAACATTAAAATTATGCTGTATGTACTGTTGATCAAGGGATGTTATTGGCTATCTGAGTCTTGCAGGGCATCACTACCAGTGGGATAAACATATATTTTTGATGCTCAGATACTACGCTGAAAGCCATGGTATCAGAAATTGAATGAAAGATGGCACAGATGCAGCTAGAACTTCTGTATTTGTTCAAGACAGGATGACTTGAGTATTAAGTCACTACTCTACATGAATATAATGCCAGCATGTGATCCATAGAAGTTGGAGTAGACCAAGAAAATACACACACACCACTCAGTTTCAGTTTAAATGTACTGAAGTGTGGATACCAAAAGCAGAGAAAGTTTATTAGCCGTGTGAGTCTGAAGTCAGGCAGGAAGCAATTTTGATTTGCACTTTTACAGATAACTAAATCAGATGTACAGCATAAGCTTTCATAAGCATAAGTTTATGTTGTACATTTCTGATTTAGCCTATAAGGCTAGGTACAGACATTCAAAAAGCCCAAGGTAGAAATGATCTAAGTTATGTGGTTTTCTACATGCGGGTAGTAAACAGAACATACATTTGCCCTTTGTGGGGTGTGGAGGTGTAACAGGGAGCCTGCTCGGGGCCAATCTCCATGGCCCACCCCGCTGTTCTTGGGCCAACCACCCGCCTTCTCCCCCACCACACCTTGATGTTAATTGATTAATTAATAGATGTCAATTAAGCAGGGGGCTGCCCATTTTGCTGTCCCGATGCCAGGGGGCACTCTCTGCGGCTCCTTTCCTCCCCTACACCGCAGCCCAAACCTCGCAGATGGCATCTAGGTGTTCTCGTTATCACCGGCCCCCACACTGGGCCCCAGAATCCTCCTAACAGGACCCCTCCACAATCCCTCCATTCAGGCAGCCTACCTCACCTTCATTCAGGCTACCTAGCTCCCTGAAGCTATTTTCCCCTCTCAGGTGTGGTCCCCCCGGGACCTCTGGCTACCAGCCCTGGCCCACCTCCAGGCCAGTCGGGACCCCCAGGTCCCCAGCTCTTGGGCATCCCTCACGGTGGGCCCCTGGCCCTTTTGACTATCCTGGTCCTGGCCCCAGCATGGGCCATTCAAGGGTACTCTCTCAATCAGGTTGAGTCTCTAGCCCCTTACTCTCTCCAGGGGTCTGCCCTCTGGGCCCTTCACACAAACTGGGTTACCCAACCAGTGGCGGGGGATAGGGGTTAAGGTGCCCCGGCTTGTCACCTGGATGGTAACTGGCCTGGCATTTCCTGGGGGCTCCTGCGCCACTGAGAGCCCCACCAGGCCACCCACTCCTGGCAGGGTGCAGGTTTAGGCCATGCCCAGGACCAGGAGCCTCCTGACCATCCTCTACAGCTCCTCCCTTACCTCCAGTTGAACTCAGCAGCCCTCCGGCCAGGCGATGTTCTTGCCTGGCCTCCAGCAGCTGAACTGCCCTGTTTTTATAGACAGCCCCTGACTCAAAATGGCTGCCCTCATCAGGCACCTTGTGGCTGCCAGTTCCAGGCCCCTAAAGTGGCAGGCACACACAGTGCACTGCCACAGGGGGTCAAATCTTAGACCAGGTTCTGCCATTTTTAAAGTAGCAGGTGAGCACTGAATTTCTGTTCTGTTATGGATATAGAACAGTTTTGTGTGCCAAACTTCTGTTCTGTTATGGGTATAGACTAGTTTCCATCACTAATACCTATAGAAGTGTGTAATGTCTGTACCTAGTCTTTAAGTGCAAATCTACCCTTCTGTCTGATACCAAAAAAACATAGTTTCATAGTAGGTAGGGTCGGAAGGACCTGAGCAGATAATCAAGTCTGACCCCCTCCCCTGGGCAGGAAAGAATGCTGGGGTCAAATAACCCCAGGCAGGTGATTGTCTAGCCTCTTTTTGAAGACCCCCAGGGTAGGAGTGAGCACCACTTCCCTTGGAAGTTGGTTCCAGATCCTAGCCACTCTGACTGTGAAGTAGTGCTTCCTGATATCTAGCCTGAATCTAGTCTCGGTCAACTTATGGCCATTGTTCCTCGTTACTCCCGGTAGCGCTCGGGGGAACAGGGACTCCCCCACAGCCTGCTGGTCCCCCTTGGCCATTTTGTAGACGGCCACCAGATCCTCTCCCAGCCTTCTCTTGTGGAGGCTGAACAGGTTCAGGTCCCGTAGCCTCTGTTTGTAGTGCCTGCCTTGCTACTCCTTGCTGATCATGTGAGTGGCCCTCCTCTGGACCCTCTCGATGCTGTCCACATCCCTCCTGAAGTGCTGCGCCCAGAACTCAATGCAGTACTCCAACTGCAACCTGACTAGTGTCACATAGCGGGGGAGGATCTGACACTATAAAATCCCATTTGGGAGTTCATAACAAAGTGCTCTGTTTTAAGAATAGCATAATTCCCAGCCCTGTCACCCCTGTTTCAAGACACAGAACCTTTACAAAAGGGTAGCTCTAGGAGAGATTACCTTGTACCTGCCTGTGAAGATTTTAAGTGCCAAAACTAAAAACAAATAAACAAAATAATTCAGTTGAGTCAAACAATTGCTTTTCCATGTTGGGCATTCTAAAAGAAAAAAAATTCCCCCAAACAATGGAAATGCAGAGTTAGGCTTTGATAGTATTCACAAGATAAGTACCCTATGCCTGGCCTGAAGTTCTAAAGGCTCTAGAGCAAGTGGAGCCAATAGAGGTGATGACAGCGTAGTGAGTAGAAATAAGCAAAAGGCCCTATGCTCAGTGTCAGCTGGAGAGAGAAACTTTGCAATGCTACAAATATTTTGGCTGACAGCGACTGTAGAAAGAAAGGAATAAACCACATGGGGAATAAAGTACATTCCCAAACACTCATAACAAATATGCAGAACAGCAGCCTATTCTCAGTTTCCATTAGAATCACAAGAGGAAACTAAAATACACATCTCATGGATCCAGACCAAATCAAACACATTCATTAGAAAGAAAGGTTATAAATTTGTACAGTCTTTTCTCATAAAGCAAAGCAGAAGGTGCCAGTTTCTATTTTGTAATAAGTCCTTTCGTGTGAAAAAGTGGCAACATTGTCCCCATTTCTATTTTCTGTCCAGTCCTATTTTAAATGTCAAAAATTATGCAGCATCTAGCTCTTCCCTTAAGTGTTATTTTCAGTTTATAGATCACACTATAAACAAGTTTTGCTTGATATTCAGCCATTTTTCCCTTGCTTTCATAGTATCAGTCCTTGTTATTCCTCATAAATCATGGTTCTGTCTGTCTCTTTCAAATATTTTAGACTTAGGATATTCCATACCAACAGCCATTGCATACTTAAGGTATACTGACTTTGCTCTTTTAAGCTTTATCCACTAGAAAAGTACTTCAGACTCTTCATCAGTTTTGCTGTTCTTCTCCAAACTCATTCCAGTTTGTCAATATTTTCTCAACAATGCAGTGTTTAGAAATGAACACAATATTCCAAGTCAGAGCAAAGAACTGAGACCTGGACTATTACCTCTTACTCCATAAAGTAAAGCCTTTTTCTGAATCACAATACCATAAGTAAGCCTGGCCACAATACCATAAGTAAGCCTGGCTAGATGTTGATACACAAATGGAATTACCATATTTACTTGAATCTAAGATGAGGTTTTTTCCCACCTCAAACAACTTAGGGAAAATAAAAGGCTTGTCTTAGATTCAACTGCTGGCCTGGGACAGGCAGCAGCTCAACTCCAGCTTTGGCCCTAGAGTAGGAGCCCAAGGCATAGTGGAGCCACTGCCTGCTCCAGGCTGAGGTAGTTTGAGCAGCATGGGGCAAGGCTTGCTGGTAAGGAAACATGAGGGAAATCATGTGGTGCAGAAGGAAAAGGAGGGGAGAGGAGACCCACCTGTGCAGTTCAGGGAGCGATCGCACAGCCTGCCTCAGCCCTGTACCTGCGGCCCACTCCCAGCCTTCCTCCACTCCCAGACTGCCCCCTGCCCCCAACCTTACCTTCTGCTCCAGCTCCAACCCTGATCCAGCAGGTTCCTAATTATGGTTACTGCTTCATTCCAGTCACTAATAACTACCAGATTCTATAAAGTTATCATTACTGTTATATACTAAAAATGGCTTTGCGAACTCATGTTAGCCCTTACTAACTGCTCAGTCTGCTCTCATTTGCATTTTATGATGGGGGCAAAAGCCCTGAGCCGTGGGGCTCTGGCGGCAGCGGCAAAAGCCCTGAGCTGCAAGCAGCATCCCTGCATGCTGAGCTGGGGAAGCATGGTGGTGGCGGCAGGATCACCGCACCACGAGCAATGCCAGCAACCCCACCAGCAGCAGCCCAGCTCCCCAAGACCCGGGAATGGGACAGCGGCCTGCAAGACATACCAACAATGCTGCGGCATCCCT